GACCGAGAATCGTTAGTGAGCATCGTGTAATTTGAGACGTATGAAATTTGACTACTGTCTGCTTTATGAACTGTGCTATAAATCTTATACTGCAAATGCAATTTAGCTTGAAAATGGCTCCAGTTCTCAAGTATAAGTTGTAAAAGGCGAAAACAATGCATATTTATTTGTCTTTCCCCGCAGTTTGATATGTTGTGAGATGAGATTTAAACCTACTCGACTCACAGACAGATTATTTCTGAATAGTTCGGTTCCAGGTTCGTCGTAATTATGGCCCTTTGCATCATTCCAAAGACAACATGTATCTTTTGAGTAAATTCCCGCGGATTTTTCACAAGGAAGATAGCGATGATGATATTAGACGTGAATATAAATGTGCTTATTAAGCATTATAGCTAGTAGAACACGTACCTGTATTGGTATATACAGTGTTAAAAATAACCCCTCCCCCCGGAATAAATGGATAGTATCTAAAACTACCAAAACTTTGCCCACATATGCTTTGCTACTGGAATATATGTTATTCGGCGGTATAAACTTAGAACTAAAACGTTTAATTACCGACTTCCAAACACCATTGATCACCACCAAGACAATCTTTGCCAGAAACCATGGGACAGCTGCTGTAATTTCATATAATTTGAAAGGAATAGCGCCCCCGTTCCCCCAGTTCAATGTTGGGCCAACAAAAATCTGATGTCTGGATACGCGGCGCCAACATTGAAACGGGTGGGGAGAGGGAGGGCGGAAAATATGTATCAGAGAATGGTATATTACAACCGAATGCATGTGAAAACTAGATCGTCCCAATCTATATTGTCAAAGATTGTAGCTTTAAGACAAAGTCAAGAATAACTTCTCAATCTTCGTCGTACTAGAAACTCCCTATCCCCGCCCGTTGGTGAAGTTTTAATTTTAACAAGTTTATTTGACCACAATATAACGCTAACATAAACTTTTTAATGACCCGATTAATAGGGAAGATGCAAACGAGACGATAAGTCCCATGCAAGGCACCTCCCTTAACAATTATAAAATAGAACACTATACAAAGCATGCACACTAGTCATAACATAGAGCAGAACGAGCAAACAGAAGCAAATGATGATAATAAGGAAAGCTGATATCCCGGTTTAACTAGTATCAATCGCTTCTATTTGAACGTTCTACCTCAAAGTTTACTCTTTGACCTATGACACGAGGAGTCTCACGCTGGACTCCATGTGCAAGGCATAGACAAGTCTTTTACAAACTTTTTAAAGAGCGATAAACTGAGAAAATGTTTCGATGTAGCAGTGGGTATGATATTGTCCCAGAGCTTGACTATACGGTTGAAATAAGAAGCTTGGAAAGTGCTGGTTCGACAATATGGAGTTTTATGTGTTCTTTCTTGACTTAACTTGCATGGTATACGACGATGAGATAAATGTTGCAATTGGATATGCCCAAATCTATAATATCCATACAGCGATTTGTAAAAGAATGTCAAGTCCCTTACTTTGTCGTAACCACGACTTTTAAAGTTACAAGTCATTCCTTGTAGGACTACTCTCTTTTTCTTTGTTTTAGTATCCATCTTGTCGTTCTGGCCATCCATGTTGGCCTTCCGCTAAGCTAATATATGAACTTTTTCTTCAGGTATAACCAGTCAATATGTGGAAGTGGAGCAGAGCTGTGATGAGTTGGATAAATGCACCTGGAAACAAGATGAAATTGGTACGCCATATGCGGTCACCGTGCAAGAATCTGCACTCACTAATGGTGTTGTTACATTACGTAATAGAGATACAAAACTAAGTGAATTTTTACATTTATCCGAAATACTCAAAACGGTACAAAGACATTTAGATGGTTTTAATTGCTGACCCAAGGTCACTGTCTTAATAAAGAACATATCTCATAGACGTTTGAATTCAAATTAATTAAAATAGGGGATTGAGTGATTATTATGCACGATGGGGGGTGCAGGGGCACACCACCTAATGGTGTCTAACACCCCCTATAGACAAGTCTATTTTTAGTGCTTTATCTGTAAATTAGTGTTAAAATGAAGAGACGTTAAATGGTATGTCAAGAAGAATGTGATGCCTGAAGTTCAATATTACTTTCTTATCTACGTTTAACCTAACCCATCCTGTCAACATTAGAGACCTTACGATTTTAGGACGGCAACCGCGACGGCGACGGCCAAAACAAACTCCTTCAAATAAATGGTAGTCGATAGTTCGTCGTATATTATCAATCGTATGAATTTAATACAGTCTTAGAAGTTGAAGACATGGGTTTTAAGGTTGGGAAGAGTTCTGCTAAACCCAGTTTGAAGTTGCACTTGTTGTGGCTTGGAATGCAGCCGTTGTATCAACACGTGAAAATATGTGATTTGGCGTTGTAAACAGAGCGAGGACAATGTCTAAATTATTCATTTATTGTAATTACTCAATTCTTTTCAATGATCTATTATATTGGTAGCCGTTGCCGTCGCGGTTGCCGTCCTAAAATCGTAAGGTCTCTATTTCCTGTGTGAGGAAAGAGGATCGCCCGGGAGAGAACCAACAACTTTCGGCAGAGCGTTGACTGACTTTTTATAGCGAGAATCCAACCCACGATCTCAGAGGTGAAAGGCGCTTTTCTGACGACTCCGTCGTGAGAGAGTTATATTTGACCAGGGCGCAGTAAAACGCGGGCGGCGGAACGGCTATGGTGCCCTTGATACTCCGTGCCTGCATGATTCGATCGGACGTGTTTGTTTTGTCTTCTTTTTAAATCTACGACGTAAAAAATACAATTCGAGCTGATTTTGGAATGGATCTTGGGGATCTGTGCTATTACAACACAAATGCTTTTCTCAGGATTCTTAATTAACCATGGCAATAGATGCAATAGGTTAAAAACGAGAAGTTATTATCGCAAGGAAAGTGCTGCCTCACCCCAGGGACCAAAGGCCCGGACGAGATGTGACAGTGGTAGTATATATGTAGTATATACAATTATAGAATACATGCATAAAATAATTATATATATTATAATAGCGTTGTCCGCAATTGACGTCACGAAAATTCGACCCCCCGCGAAGACTCAGACAAACATTGGCAACATTTAATATAAATAGTATTATGATTAAGAGCTTCCCGTGAGTTAGTTTAATAGTTTGATGTTTGTTTACGGTTTATTTGTGCGAAATCATACACACCTTGTACTTTTCGCTTTACCTGAAGCGAGGGGCAATTCACTCCAAAAATCCCGTACACTTCGTCAAAAAATCCGGAAAAAATCCAGAAAAAATCCATGAAATCCTCAAAATCCGTTGAATCCATCAAAATCCGAAAAATCCTTTAAAAACCACAGAAATCCTTCAAAA